CCACATATAAAGTTTCTAGAGCTCAATGACCCCTCCCCCCTTTTGTTACACCTGATGAAGGCTCACACGTTAATTATTTAGCCACTGATGCTAACTGGAACATAGTCATACGAAGAAACTGCCTTGAAAACATTTCTGCATGTAACATAAGGCTCTTGCAATTTAAACATATTTTTTCTTCTTTCATATCAGCAGTTACTTTGCAGATCTGGGCTTAGACGGCTTAGCAACAAAGGGCACTAGATTGGTGAATTATTCATGTAATCTACATTTCCTGGTTGCTGTGGATAATTGACAGGTGTCATGTCACCTTTTACAAACATCCCACAATTATGGGCCATATATCAGGGTTTGACTTCGAAGTAATGCTTCTTTTCTAAGACAGTTTCATATTTTATTTACAGCATGGTGGCGTTTTTGACTTGGCTGCCTATTTCTCTCACTTTTGATTCCAAGCCTTTTGCTCCACTTAATATAACGAGGAATATTTAAATAATAAGGCTTCCTCTCAGTTTGCTAAAGGCAGTCATTCATTGCTGCCGTGTTTTATTCATTCAGCCATTATGTTAGTCAATTTCTTGACTTAAGAAACTTCGGATGAAATGCAACTGTAAGGAAACCATAATATAAATCTGTTTTTATGACTTGTTTTGTTCACAGGGAAAAAACTAAAAGCAAATCATCCTGGGGTCTGACACAAGTTGTAAACTGTGGGGAAAGTTGGCTAGTTAAAGAATTATGACTTAATAGGAGCAATGGAATATTTCGAACCTCCACTGGAGCTGGAAGTTTTTAAGCATTAGAAACAAAGCCAAGGTGAGTTCTAGTTGGCCTAGTGAGAAAATAAACCTGGAATTGATCATTCTGAAGACGAGTGAGGGAATGTATTCAGACATCTAACATTCAGAGTCAAATGGAAACTTCAAAATCCTTAAGCCCTACCTTCCTGCTTTCCCCTCACAAGAAAAACACGAGGCCGGAGGCGTGCAAGGACTTGTCCACCATCCCAAACCTTGTTGGGGTGAAAGTTCACAGCAGGTCAGCTGATTCCTGTTCCAGCACTTCTACTGCCCTGCCATGCCAGGGCCCTTCTCATTACCTTCCCAGGGCTCACTTGCCTCTTCCACTGCCAGCAGTCACTTGCTGTTCCCTGAGGCATTCACCCCTTCCTCATCCTCAGTGTGTGATGTGGGTGGGATTATTGCACACCCACTCCCAGGTGAGCAGGATCGACTAAATTCATTGTCCTAAATGGAATGGTGTGTGATGTAAATCTGTCCAGAGCAAGACAGTAACTCCTAGCACTTGCACAGGATCTGTGAAGAGCTTTTCTGTCCCACTAGACTGGCTGGTGTAAGCTGGGTGAGGTCTGGAGCTACGGGAGGGGTGGGTGGGGAAAGTACCACCTGATACCTGAAGGGGAAGCCTGCCAACACGAAACTGAGCAGAGAGAGCAAACCGGGGTCAAGTAAACATATCATTCACCTTCTAAACCAGGACCATTCTGAATGAAACAGAGCAGGACAAATGCTAAACCAGACAGGACTCTGGCACAGTGTGCATGAACAGGACCATTCTGGGAAAACAGGGACACAGGGCACCTGCTGCCCAGGGGCATCACCTGAACTGCCAGGAAAAGCCTCGACCCTGAGTTGAGTTAGTTGGGTGAAACCATCTCACTTGCATAGGAGAGTTTTAATTTACACAAATATTGTGCTTCCTAAGCATTGTGTTTCTTCAAATCTTTCCCTACATCATATCTTAAACTTGCAATTAAAAGTGATGATTATGTGTTTTAACTTTAATAGATATTAAAACTTTAACATTTTTCTTGAATACGAACTCTTCAAGAACCTTTATTATTTATAGAGATGTTGCAGGTTATCTTATTTTTACCAATAACTCCATGAAGTGGTATTGTCTAAGATTTGGTGAAGTCAAAAATGTACCTGACTTCATACAGCTGAGGTGGCCCATATGCAGAGCTATCTTTTCAGAGGCAAGACACCCACAACTCTGATTTTCGATGTTTATCAATTTCTGTGGTGTAACTATTCCAACAATGAACAATTTCAAATTATCAACTGACAGCACTGAGCGAACAGCTAGGAAGAGATGCTTGGCTCTCTCACAAGCCAGTGGTAGTACCCCGCTGCACGGGACATGATCTAAGACATCTGACTCTGTTTCTTCAGTTCCCCCCATTTGTATGCTCCAGGTGCTGGGCAGCAGGCAGGCAGTTCTGAACTGTGCTCTAATTGCAGATGTGCCCCAGGGCCAGTGGTGCTAGGGGCTTTCCAGCAATGGCCAAGCCAATTAGATTCTGCATTTCTCCAATCTGTCTGATGCCCACCCTCAGCAGGACTTTGTCCACAAACTTAGCACTTGCTGTGCTCCTACCTGGATGTGGTTACTTCCGTGGCTCCATTACCCCACTCTGATCTGTTCATCCCACAGCTGGTTTAGACGAGTTACCCAGGGCTCTGCTCTGTCTCCAGCATCACTACACAGAATAGGAATAGGGACAGTAAGACATCCAGAGGAGAAGTCAAGGGCTTGGAGTAATTCTTCTCTGCCCTGGTGTCCTTTAGGCTGACTCAGTACTGTAACTGTCTTTGTATTCTGAGATCACTGCCAACAGACTTGGGCCCCCTGCAGAGAGAGGGACACTTAACCATACCCATGCACATTCATTATCTCATTTGAAAATATTGACTGGATTGTATGCTAAATGTTTTGCCTCAGCAGAGAGAGCTTGGAGAATGGTTGAGTCATATGAAAACCCTGGTGACAGCAACCTAATTTGCAGTCCTGGGGCTTAGGGGAAATTAGCCAGTCTTAATAGGGATTGCCTTAAAAGCCCAAACCTACTTGGTTGTGAGTAAATGCCACAGAAACCTTAATTGCCAAAAATCATGGAGCTGTGGAACAGCAACAGTAAAAGTAATTTTGCAACTTGACATCTAGATTATGCAAAAATTGAAAATAAGACTCTTCTGGTGACATTACAACTCTGACTCTGAGTAATGGGGTAATGGAGCCACCACTTTTTAACTGTGAACTGCTCTCTCTGCTCCTGTAAGTTGGGAAGGAGGGAAGCAATGCCGACACCACCGCATTAGTAACAGCTAATTCTACTGTGGTCAGTGCTCAGTCACCCACTTTCAAAAGGATAACGAGACAAATCATACAGGCCTCTCATTTTGGCACTGTTTTTTCTACCTCTGTTTTGAATTTGTAGATATGTCAGAGCGTCTGAGCATTTCATTAGAACAGCTTAAGGAATCAAGTTCATGAAGAACGGGGAAGATGCCCTCTCTCCCCAGCTGCCCTCCTGCAGTGTGGTTCCTAGGGGAAGAAAGGGCTCTTTCCCAGAATGATTGAAAGGTTTGTGCCCTCTCTAGTTTTTCCTACGGAAGAAGTGATGGCGACTGTGACTCATATTGCTTTTCTATATCCAGAGAAAATAGAAATGAAATGAATCAACCCAATCTTTTTTTTTTTTTGTATCAAGATGAATGTGCTCATGCAAGATGTGTAAAAAGCATAAAGGCATGGTGAAGGCCAGAGTTCCAGTTCCATTTCAAAGCCTATGATTTGGCTGAGGGGCTGACCTGCTGAAGAGCAAGAAGTAATCCATGGCAGCTTTTAATGAAGAAGGGAGCTGATGTGAATGGCTAAGTCTGTAAAAATCCAAAAGAACTGGATATGAGGGAGGGCTGGAAAAGTCAGAGAAGAATTCAGAAAGGAGGAGACACTTAAGCTGGGCCTTGAACGATGCACTGGGAAAAGAAATTCCTGCTAATCAGAATGAAAGCACCATAAGACACACACAGCCGTGAATGTTCAGGGCATCTCTCTGCACCAGTATAGTGAATCAGCTTGGGTTCTCCCATGGAAAGTGAAGAGATGTTAACAAAGCAAGCTCCTCAGAAGAATATGTGTTAACTACTCATAATGTTAAGAATAAATTGACCCTGCCA